AGCTTATGATGAGTCCTTGCGTGATGTTAAATACAGGTCAAGTGTTGATTATACAGGAAGAAAATACAGGTGTTGAAGACCACACCAAGATAACAAGAATATAGAGAAAATACAAAGGAGTGACAATTAGATACATGCGATAATAACTTCCCAGCCCAGGAACATAGAGTGATTCATTGGAGCGATTTGTACACCTCTGTATTTATTAGAAACCTGAGGTGCTTGAGTTCCGGATTTAATGTATCCCTGCGGGTTTCGAACCCACGCGCCTTGGTTTCCCACGCCAAGGCGCTACTGGGTGGCCGCATTAACCATTCAGCCACCGGGGCATAAGAAGTCAGTGTACAGCTGTAATCTTACACTAACTCAATCAATCTTTGAATCATATATTTTCAAAATACTTATTTCTCAAAGTTTTTACAATATTTATTATTAACTATATATTTCTCACAGTGAGAGTAACATAGCTGTAGACTGACTGTTAAAACTATAAATTTCATATTTAATCTTATTTAATCTGATCTCATATATTTCTTAGCATGAATCTCACTGAGACTAGTTATTAAAAAAACATATAAAGTGACTAGACTGACTGTGTGACTGTGTCTGAGATCAGAACCAGATTTTTTGATAGTCTTATTATTAATTTAACTGATTTCATTACACAGTTTTAACATTAGATAGTAGTTTTATACTATTTTAGTGAGACTTACTATCTACTCTTATCACATTTTTCAAATAAGACTATAATTTTCACTTCTCAATTTAAATTATTTTTATTGCTTTAAATGACTTTAAATCTTATTTAAGTGTTATCAAAAAGTGTTACTTTTTAAAAAATTAAAAATAGTGTAAAAAAAACCTTAAAATGTCTAAAAATAGTAACTTTATACTAAGAATGAGACTAAATGAGATCAGATGAAATCACTTTCTTATTTTTTTCAAGTTATGATTTCATTTTAGATCTGATATATAGTTACTTTGCATGTTTTTTTAATGACTAGTCTCAGC